GGGTGTGGGTGTGGGTGTGGGTGTGGTGGGTGTGGGTGTGGTGGGTGTGGGTATGGGTGTAGCGATGCACCAATTCCAATACCAATTCTTGGCTTGAAAATGGCAGAATTGGTAGGAATTGGTATTGGAATTGGTAGGAATTGGTTGAAATTAGAATTTGGAATTGTAGGAATTGGTATTGTAGGAATTGGAATTGGTTAGAATTGAGTCAAGTCACCTAAAAATCTTATGGAACCCCAGAAATTGGTATGGAATTGGTCTCAAACTGGCTAGACTTGACTTAAGCTGACTATAATTGTTATGGAGTCCTAAGAATTGTTATGTAATTGGCCTGAAATTGGCTCGTATTGGACCGTATTGCCCACAATTCGTATGGAACCCTAGGAATTGATCTTAAACTGGCTCGATTTCGGCCGAATTGTCTAGAATTCCTAGGATTCCATAAGAATTTTAGCCAGTTTAAGCCAATCCGGGCCAGTTTCAGACCAATTCCATACCAGTTCCTAGGATTCCATGCAAATTGTAAGCTATACGGTCCAATTCAAGCCAATTTCAGGCCAATTACATAACAATTCTTAGGACTCCATAACAATTATAGTCAGCACAAGCTAAGTCTAGCCAGTTTCAGACCAATTCCTGGGGTTCCATAAGATTTTTAGGGAACTTGACCGAATTCGAATCAATTCCAATTCCTACAATTCCAAATCCAATTCCGACCAATTCCAACTCCAATTCCAACCAATTCCAACCAATTCTAAGAATTGGAATTGGAATTGGTGCATCCCTATGTGGATGGGTGTGGATGGGTATGGGTGGGTGTGGGTGTAAGTGTGGGTGTGGGTGTAGGAGGTGTGGGTGTGGGTGTAAGTGTGGGTGTGGGTGTAGGAGGTGTGGGTGTGGGTGTGGGTGTATGATATAATACACTCACACCAACGGGGTTCCGGAATTTCGCCAATACGACTTTCGCCAATAGGACTTTCGCCAATACACCCCGTGGATTTTCGCCAATTGGCGTAAGTTCACGGCACTTTCGCCAATACGTTCGGTGGAGTTTCACCAATTGGAGAAAGTACAGTGAGCTTTTAGCAATTTCATTGTAAATTAGACGTACACGAAAAAAAGTTTTTTCACCTACATCGATGAGTGTAAACTATGATATATGGGGTTGGCCAGTCGGGCCGGATGTCTCAATCCCGGTTTTAATCAATCCATCTCTATAATATGTCAGAAATATCTGATTTTTTTGCTAGTTATAGTACTCATATAATGCTGATGATCCGCCAAAGAGAAAGAATTTATCTCTTGTTTGAAACGAAATCGATAAAGCATCTTTCAAAGCCTTTTGATATTTACCAACAGATAATTCTAAAGACACTTAATGATTGTTATTTGAACCAAGATATAAACTTCCCAGCCTTGGCAGATCATTAGCTGTATACAAGTACTATTACTATTATAAAAATCAGATTTTTCTGATATATTATAGAAACTGGATGACGGAAAAAGCCATAGGGACATCCGGCCAGACTGGCCAACCCATATATATTCTAATAACATTAACTGCAGCGCTGACATATATCCTTTATTAATATTGTTCTGTGACCACTGGGATAGTCCACCTCACTTTCCCCAATTGGCGAAAGTCCACTGTACTTTCGCCAACATGGTCTCTGGAACTTCGCCAATTGGCGAGAGTCTACTGTACTTTCGCCAATATATCCTCAGGACTTTCGCCATTGGCGAAAGTCTTATTGGCGAACATCCCGCCACCCACACCCACATCCACACACACACTCACACCCACACTCACATCCACACCCACACCCCACACCCTTATCTGAATTCATCAGTCCTTTTTGAAAGTTACGAAAATATCATACTGATATGGTAATCATTTGTATGCGCCATCTTGCGGAGTCTACATGCCTTTCATGGAATATGAAACTTAATGTTGCTGCTCGTCGTCAAAGTAAGCGTCATTATGCTTACAAAAGCTTACATTTTTATAAGTTGTTCTTTTCTCCTTTCTTTTTCTTTTCTTTCGTTCCTTCTTTCTCAAGTTAGTAATAGGTTGGATTTTTCCAACTATGAATCAAGCAGCAGACTGTTTTGATAACAAACATTTTAAAATAATTAAAGCTGGAAAAAATTTAAACGTCATCCCAGAATTTCTATTAATTGTCGACGAAGAGAAAAAAAGACTTTATAGGTGTGGATTCAGATCAAAGGAAGATCCACACCCACACTCACACCAACACTCACGCTCACACCCACACCCACACCCACACCCACACCCACACCCACACCCACACCCACACCCACACCCACACCCACACCCACACCCC